GTTCAGTTCCTTAGTAGCCACATTTAAGTGTCAATAGGCCATGTGGCCGTGGCTGCCATATTGGACAGTGCAGAAATGATAGAACATTTCACAGAAAATTTTACTCAACAGCTTGAGCCCCGAGGTTGCGTGCGATGGCCAACGAACACAAAGATTTGTGTACTGAGCCAACTCCTCAACCCACAGAGAAGGGCTGCAGCGGTCGGTATCTCCTCTACTAGAGAGTGCTCCCTACATTAGGGCGTCCCTACAGCTGTATCCCATTTCCCAGGCTCAGAGAAATCTCTCCTCATTTGACGTGTATGTTGGGTTTCCTCATCTGATACATTTACTGCACTAAAGCCTGAGATTGTTTGAAAACGGAGGCAGCCATGGACAGTTTACGGAAGCGAAGCTACTGTGGTGTGTTCTCCGTGATTTGCTGTTCTGTTTAGTTCCTGGAGGCTGTTTACATAAGTAGAAAGTGCCAACGCCAAATCAATTGCATTTTGACTCACGGCATGTTGATATTGGTCACACGGTCCTGCTAATGGGTGCACATGGGCCTGAGACAGTGACATATGTCTCCCTCTATTCTCTGCCTCTGTTCACCATACAGACATGATTAAAAGTGAGCTCCACTGTCCTCTCTGGAGGAAAAGAGCACTGAGAGGAAGCCTCTCCCCTGGGGATCTTCTATGTCTAATAATCAAATCATTAGTTAATAAAATTGCCTAGTTACTGCCTTCTGCAACTTTTCAAGTCTTGACTGTGATATCAAGATCATTCTTGGGGCGCCCGGGCAGCTCAGTGAGTTAAGCGTCCAACTTTCGCTCAGGTCATGATCTCGCGGTTCGTGGGTTCAAGCCCCGCGTCAGGCTCTGTGCCGACAGCTCAGAGCCTGGAGCCTGCTTCAGATTCGGTGTCTCCCTCTCCCTCTGCCCCTCTCCCACTCACACTCTGTCTCTCAAAAATAAATAACACTAAAAAATTTAAAAAAAGATCATTCTTTTGATGGGATATTGAAACCCATAATCTGAGGCTCGTAGAAAATCCAGAATTTGTAGAACACTAAAAAATTATTGAAAGAGCAAGATAATACATATTCATGGATTAAGCTTAAAAAGAAAAAGCCATGATAGACACTAAGCTCTTACCATGAACAAAATGGTATTCGATTTCATTCATTAAATTTCACAACTACCTAAAGCAGTGTTCTTACTCTCTTTTTACAGAGAAGGAAACTGAGATGTAGAGAAACAATTCATTCAAATTCGTTCAGCAGTTGGGCATCAGAGCCAGGGTTCAAATCCAGGTTCTGACTTTAAAAGAAAAAAAAAAAAAAAAAAAAGAGAGAGGCACCTGTGTGGCTCAGTTGGCTAAGCGTCTGACTTCAGCTCAGGTCATGAGCTCATGGTTCATGGGTTCGAGCCCCGCGTCGGGCTCTGTGCTGACAGCTCAGAGCCTGAGCCTGCTTCGGATTCTGTGTCTCTCTCTCTCTGCCCCTCCCCTGCTCACGTTCTCACTCTCTCTCTCTCTCTCTCTCTCTCTCTCAGAAGTAAATAAAAACATTAAAAAAATTAAAAAATAAGAAAGCGTGCCCTTGGCTACTATCATACAAGATTCCTTAAAATCCCATTAAAAATCTAGACACATTTCAAAAAGAAGATGTGGAAGGCAGCAAGCATCAGTGTAATGCGGAATGCTCATAGAAAATGCCATGAGCATCTGAACGGGGACAGAACCAGTCACAGCCAGCAGGCAGGGCTGGTCATTCTCCTGTGAACTTCGGGCTGGGATCCGTTTTGAGGCGTGGAACACGTTTGCAGCGTGCTTGCCGGTGATAGCTCACTACTGCGCTCAGGATGTGTCTCCTCTCACCTTCCCACCCCTTGGTGCGTGATGTGCCTGCCTAGAGAAAGTACGGATGAGGGCTTTCTGGAGAAGTATTAGCATATGGCACAGCGTAAGACATTCTGAGCCTGTTGTCTGTTTTTGGGAATGTAATAATGCTGCGTGGAAAGGAACGGAAGAGAGGGAAGGTGAGGGATTGGTTATTTAGAGATCCATTTACAGAGAATTCACTTTCTCAAAGCTTCTAAAAGAAGTTTAACTGATGTTCCAAACAGTATAGAAGAAACAATCGGGGGGCCCCTGGGTGGCTCAGCTGGTTGACTCTTGATTTTGGCTCAGGTCATGATCCCGGGGTTGTGGATCGAACCCCATCCCATCTTGGGCACTGCACTTGAGTGTGGAGCCTGCTTGGGACTCTCTCTCTCTCTCTCTCTCTCTCTCTCTCCGCCACTCTCTCCTGCTCACGCACATTGTCTTTCTCTCTTTAAAAAAAATTAAACAACAACCAAAAAGAAATCATCAGAACATAACCTGATAATAGTTTTGAAGGCTGTCGCGTAAGCAGTTCTATGGGAGAAGCAGCGCGAACATTTCTGAACATTTTTTAAAACTTATTTGTCTTTGAGAGAGAAAGATAGAAAGTGAGCAGGGGAGGGGCAGAGAGAGAGGGAGGCGCAGAATCTGAAGCAGGCTCCAGGCTCTGAACTGTCAGCACAGAGCCTGATGCGGGGCTCGAACCCATGAACGGTGAGATCATCACTTGAGGGCAAGTTGGACGCCCAACCAACTGAGCTGCCCAGGCGTCCCACAAATATTTCCTTTAAAGCATTTAACTTGGCGATAGGTCACTCATTAAGAACAGTGACAATGACGTTCCTCAGGTTTGTATCATTTTGCCCAAGACCGTCTCATTAACGTTCCGTTAGTCAAAAATAGGACCAAACCACAAACCCCGACACAACTTCAAAAGGTCACCACAATATGCACGAGGTTGCAAGGAGGTAGTAGGACCTTATTGGTTAGGGCAAAGTGCCTCAAATCTGCTGCTTCTATTCTGAGAGCCTCACACATTTAGATCTGGTGGCGTGTGGTTCTATCTAATGTCGACTCTGCCAGCTCCTGCGATAATGGAATCACTCGCTAAGCTTTTAAATCTTTTGTTGTAAATACAAATATTTCAAAGCTTAAAGCTCTATTTTGACATCAAAACCACCTGCAGTCTCGGGTGGGTAAAAGGCTACGTGGAGAAAAACAGCAGAAGAAGAGCATGAAGGTTCTCAGGATTCAACACAATAACATTTTAACACCAAGTATATTGGAAAGAGGAGCGACCAGCAGACCTCGCGGGACAGACCCCGGGGGAAAGTGAACTTGGGTCTAACCCATTTTTGCGATTTCCATGAAGGGCGCCCAGCAAATTGTTGAAAGAGCAAATAGAAGTGTTCAGAAGTGTTCTATGAAAGAAACTAATGACGGATTGTCCCGGATGAAAAGGTTATGAGCTGTCGAGCTTTCAGAAACTGAATGTTGCGTGGAAATGATATTGAGCACGAGCTGTTCAGCTGTCCACCTCAATATCTAGTTTCCAGTGTCATCTATTGGCCGCCAAGCGTGGGCGAAACAGTCACTTTATACTTCTAGCTACTGATCCAGCGCAGGAATGGGTGACACTGGGGTGGAGAGAGACCTTATTCAGAACGTTATCTGTCTCGCTCCTCTGTCGGAGGAGCTCCTTTCCTTTTAGACTTAAACCTTCTAGAGAAAACTGCTGTGATGGAAAGAGATTGGCCGTAAAACTATTTGTATTGAAAACTTAGCCAGAGTGCCTTCAGTGAACTTCCTTCATTAGCATTCTTACCGGCGACGGTTCCCTACCTCGGTGTTCATTTTATACTTTAATTTGGTTAGTAGGTCTTTGTTGGTCCGTCCTATTGAAGAGGGAACAAAGGCAGTTTAGGTGACACAGTGGAGGAAGGCGCTATATTTTATCTCGGAAAAAAGCCTGACAGAGCCAGAGTGCTCCGATCCCCTCTGATTTTGCTCGGGGCGTTTGGAACCACGAATCCGCCGGAGGATAAAGATCCTGGCTGAACGCGGCCGCAGACACCTTCAGAGGAGAAACCCCGTGTGGCCGCAGGAGCTGTGTTCCGCCAGCCACGTGGGGCTCCACGGCCGCTGATCTCATCCCAAGAGTTTGTTCCCAGGAGTGAGGGACCCCTCCCCCGGCCCCTGCCCTGGCTAGAGTGTGGACCGCCCAGGGCGCAGCGGTGAGGACATGGGCAAGTCCCCCACCGCCGCAGAGGCAGGCCCTTGCCGTCCCCGGTGTCCCGTTCTGTCACGGCACTTCCTCACGTCGCTGCTGCTCCGGTTTTCTTCTCCGGCGGGAGTGAAAACCCAGTCTTCCTATGGCTGGAGTCCCCTAAAGCTTTGCTTCGTATGATACGATCTTTCCCGTGTCTCTCTCCCCTCTCGCCCAGGACGGGCCTTTTCTTGGCCGATTTCTTTGGACTCCATTAAGCCAAGTGATGCCCCTCCACTCTGTACGGTGTGTACCACCCGGGAGTTACAAATCTGGTTTTCTTCACGTGACCTGATGGAGAACGGCTATGCCCAACTTTCTCACTCTGCTGTATAACACAGGTGTTTTAGTTTCGAGTCCACATTTCTCTGAGCTGTTTCTCGAACTTCCTTCGGTGGGCACCCGGGACAGCCATCCGGCAGAGCTGGAGACCACCGGCCCGTTTCGCACGGGCCACTGAGCACTCAGAAGGCGGTAACAACTCTGGGTCTCCAGTGACCTGGACTGGATTCAACTCACTGACCTAGAGGTGAAAGGCTCTGTATTCCATTACTAATCCCTTGAGCTCTCCGGCCCCCTGAAAATGATTCTTTGGTTTTATTATTGCAAAGGCCATTTATAAAATCATGAACTGGATTTAGGAAAGCAACCATGAAATAGCAAGGGACAACAACTGATTGAAATTCCTTCAATGTATTACGGGCTGAAGTCTCTGGACAGGAGGATTGGGGGGAAAGTTACATATAGAGGCACCTCCATTCTTATTTCAGGAGCATGACCGGCTCACTTAAACGTGGCACCTATAGATCCACTGGCCATGCCCCGAGGAACTAAATCCTAAATAAAGAAAATGGAAGAGCAAACTATGAAACAGCCAATAATCTTTATTTTGCACTTCCCCACCCCCCAGCCCTCTCCAAAAAGCACTAATGGGTATATTTGTGCATGTGAAAATACTGTATAAAGTATTTACGATGATCTCGAATCAAGAAAACAAAAAACACATATCTCAACACGGATGCTTCGTTTCCTTGTAGGGATAGAAACATTTTGGCTTCTAGAACAAGGAGGGCAGAGAAATACTGCACCCTTAAAAGGTCGGCTCCATTTCCGATTTGCAATTTAACATTCATGGCAGAAAACCTCATTTCTCTAACCACATAATAAGTTTTAAAATATGACTAATTCATACACTAATATCAATTTACTTGGCATTAAAAAAATTCACAATTTCTATTAATATATTTGTATTAGGTTCAAAGCCCATATTCTAGCATTCAAGATATCCATTACACTGGCCCAAATCGGGATTATTTCAGAATCAAGTAAAAGTCCATATTTATTCCAAAGTTGCTAAAATATGCTAATAAAGTTAAATTTGATGTTTTACATTAAAAATAAAATATTTGGTTTCTCTCTCAGACATCTATAACACATAATAAATAGTGGGCAGTATAGTCATATAATAAAGTTTTGTGATACCCTGAAATTTGATGCGTTTTCTTTAAGAAAAAAAAATTCATAATATACTTCATTTCAGCCTCAAACCACAATCTCCATGAACGATTTGCAGAAATAGAACAATATAAACACAAAATGCTACAGTGTATGTTTTCTGTTTCGTTTTTGAACTCTCGGGGGGCATCTAGGCGTCCGTGTAATGAGAGTCAGTCAGAGAAACGCACAGACGACAGAACCGTTTCGGACCCCAGACCGCGGGTTCGGGTCGCCCTGTGTGCGCGTCGCCCGCCGGGCCCCGACAGCCGGGACGACAGGCGGGGCCGCAACCACGGCGGGTCCCGGAGAAAGCCAGAATTGAACACGGTAAAAATGTAAAAAATAACTACTTCATAAATATTTATTATGTACAGCGGGGGAGGCGGTCCGCGGCCTGGGAGGTTTTGCACAGGCTGACGGCGGGTCGGGGCGCTGAGGGGACGCCGCCGTTCCGAGAAGGGCGCGGCTGCGATGCGGCCAACGTAGAAAATGCGTGCGAGTCAACAAAAATAATCTGCGCCAAAGCAAACGGGACATGATAGAAACCTTTTTCTTAAAAAATAGAAGGTATTTCACAAAAGCCTGAACATTTTACATGTTAGTACTAAAAACGGGGGGCGGGGCACGGGGAAGCGTCATATACTCTCGTCACAAAAATACTTGGCGGCGCGCGGGCGGGCAGCCGAGGCCCGGGACGCCAGCGGCGGCGGCGCGCACGCGCTCCTCTCGTCTAACCGCCTTACGGAAGGGCCCTGGAGAGAATGAAGGAAATCAAAAGGGAGCGTTACGGTCTTTTTATTAATAATACTCGTCACTGGTAATAGAAAGCGGGGGCGCGCCCGTCGACGCCCGTCACGGGTCCCTCCGTCACGTGTCCCTCCGGCAGACACCGCCTCGCGGGGGCGGCGCCGGCGCATGCGTCCTGGGCCTCCCGGCCCCCGGCGGCCGCGGCCTGCGAGGCTGGCGGGCGCCGCGGGCGTCAGTGGGCCCGGTGCTTCCGCTTCTTGTGCTTCTTGTCCTTCTTCTTGTTGGCGCACTTGGGGCAGAACCACTGCATTTCTTCCGGGGGTGCGGCCATTATTCCCACACAGGGCCTGGTGGTCGGAGAGGAAAAGGGAAATCAAACACTTCGGATAAACAGACCTTTTAAGGTAATTTTAAGTAACTCAATAATTTTGAAGCCTCTAGTATGTTTTGCAGAGCCCAGGCCGCACAGCTCTGGCTCATGGAGCACGGCTGCCGCATGGCCTCCCCCGACGCCAGGCCGCGGCCTCCCCCTCCGTCGAGCCTCCCCTCCGTCAGGCGGCGGCCTCCCCCTCCGTCGAGCCTCCCCTCCCTCAGGCCGCGGCCTCCCCCTCCGTCGAGCCTCCCCTCCCTCAGGCCGCGGCCTCCCCCTCCTCCATCGAGCCTCCCCCTCCCTCAGGCCGCGGCCTCCCCCTCCGTCAGGCCCGGCCCTCCCCGCGGCCCCGCTGCCGGAGTGCAGGAGGGCTCCCTGCCGCCACGAACAGCCTGGCTGCGCGGGGCAGCGGCCGGTGTTTCTCTCCCGGGGTCCCGTATCCCGTGGCTGCACGGGCTTCTCTCTTTCTACGTCTGAGTTTTACACTGTACAGCGAGAGGGGGCGCGCGCATTCTGGAGGCTTCTTCAGCGTGGGGGGCGCCGTGGGGGGCTGTGAGGAGCGGACAAGCCTCCGTTCACGCCGCGGTTTGTGCCGTGTTTGCCAAGGGGTCACCCCAGTGTTGCTGACAAGTGCTGCGGCTCATAGAAAATTACTGGGAAGAAAGGAAAGGGAAGCGTCTATCTCCCTTTTTTCTTCTTCCAACAAGAAGGACACATAAGCCGAGCTCACACGTGGAATTTGGGCTGAAGGACAACTGTGCAAAGACTCGTGATGTTTGCCGCCAGCACTCACGCCGCTGTCATGTGCCGGCAGTGGCGCCGGGAGGGACCGCCGCTCGTGCGCCCGCCCGCGCCCCCCGCAGCGCTCACCAGTGGTACCAGTCGTCACAGTCGTCACAGCCGATCATGGGGCTGCCGTCGTCCGGCTTGTTGCACCCGGGGCAGATCCAGATCTGATTCCCCCACTCATCTCGGATCTGAGGTGTTTACATGGGGCGGGGGCAAAACCAGGCGGAATGGGGAAGAAGAACCAGAAAGAGGGCAACGTAAGAACGATTACTTTACACCGTGAGCCTAGTAAACAAGTTACACTAAAAAGAGAAAAAAGTGGCTTGACAATGTATAAGGCCGTGATCGTGACCACCATTACCCTGCGGCCTACAGGGGACGCAAGGCAGCTACTAAGTACTCCTGGAGAAGACACGTCTAAGGAGTATTTTAAACTCTCTTCTGTCAGTCACGAAAACCAGGCATTTAGTGACTAGTTCTACGAACAGTATGACCTATAGCCTCTTTTGTCTTAAAAAAAACCACTGTAAACATGTTAAGTTCGGAACGATTAGGGTCATAATGGCTGTAACAACGGATATTTTTGAAAGCTACAGAGCTCAGGATATGCAGCTTCCACAGGCCCGTTCAAGGACCTGGCGTTGCTGGATCCAGCCCGAGCACGGATCACCGTATTACTTATTAGCCAGGCACTTCTCCTGAACTAGCTGATAAGATCAAGGATATAAAAGCGCTGTTATTAAGTAACTTTCCATTCCCTTTATGACATTTTCAGTAAAGCACAACAACTAAAGGGCAAATAAAATAAGGGATGCAGGAGGCCAGTGAGCTACACATTTTCACACTGTTCTGCCAGCAACGCGCTGTGGTGCCCTGGAGTTTGCCTTACTTACCTGAGCAGTTCCCAGTCAGAAGCGTCCCTGATTATATCCTGCCTCAAATTCCACATTCACAGAACCGATTTGGAAGAAACAAATCTATGAGGAGCCTTCAAAAAATGGCAACGACTACTAGCTAATTTTCAAAAGTTTTTACAATAAGGCAGCCACTAGCCTCCGTGAGTTTATTCCGCAGGTGTGGTCTGTTCCTGCGCTTTCAGATAAAACCCTGACCGCGTATGCAGAAAGGGGGGCTTTGTTGTGGGGAAACAGATGTTTCATTCATTGAAGGGCCAGCTGAAGGCTGACCAGGTCTGGAAAAGTCTCTGCCAAAGGCAAACCACATCGGCATGGAAGCTTCCTAATGACACCCGGGGGCAGCTCCACTGGACTCAGCTAACGCTAAGGGGAGAGAACCCCTTGCTACCGTGGGCCCGCTCCCTGGGCACCCTGGCCTAGCACCCTATGCCCTGTAGCTGCCATGCATGGCCAGCCCTGCTGGCTGGCTGGCCTCTCCTGAAATCAGAAGCCGTGACTCTGCTGCTACTGAGAACTGTGCCGCCACAGCGCGCTTAATACCTAACGAGCAGCCAGTGTGCTGAGGTCTTTCAGACATCTGACCTCGGCCAGCCAGCCTGAAGCCAGCCCTGGGTAGGCTAAGGATGAGGGGCTGGAGCTAGGGGAACGCCAGTGACAGTTCCAAAGTCCCACTGCTAGGCGGTCACCACATCAGCCTTTCTGCTCTACTGTCTAGGTCTTTCCTCCAAATCACACGTTTTGGCCTCTGTCTACAGAACGTCGCTGAGGAGACACAAAGCTTTTCTTCCATGTTATCTATGCCAGTCGGATTCTGCTCCGGGAGGAAGCCCGGACACCCACTGAGAGTGGGGAGCTAGGCTCTACCGTGCTGTACCCATCATCTAAGCGGACACGAGCCCCCATTTACAGCCGAAGCAAGGGAGGCAGAAGAGGCTAAGGAAAAAATCTTTCTTCATCGGCCCATCTGGGGGTGATGTGCCCTCAGTGAAACACCTAGAACTTGGTCCTTGAATGGCCAATTTTTTTTTTTTTTTAATGTTGGCTTTTTTTTGAGAGAGAAAGCGTCAGGGGTAGGCAAAAGATCCAAAGAAGGCTCTGCAATGACAGCACAGAGCCTGAGGTGGGGCTCGAACTCACAAACTGTGAGATCAGGACCTGAGCCAAAATCAATCTACGTTGGATGCTTAACTGACTGAGCCACCCAGGCGCCCCTAGAATGGGCCAATTTGATGACCACAGATTTTAGCACATCTTCTATTTTTGCCTTGAATTGCCAAATTAGTATTCTGTTTAGTTTTCATGTCTTTATTGACTTTTCAGATTTTCTTCTTATCCTATCATTATAGTGCCTAAAATATTTAATGATTTATCGAAATTCCTCCTAAAAGAGGAAAGATATAAAGAGATATAAAGTTTACCTGATTCATAACAAGCGCCACGAGTCCTATCTTCCCATCACATCTATTCAGACCGATCGGTGCCATCAGGAAGCGGACAGATCGCAGTCTGAATATTTGGTGGTCAGATGGGAACCAGTGCACTGAGCGCCTGCCTCGACTATTTCTGTCGTCTGTATGTCCCTGCACAGTGCCCCAAGGGCATATGTATAAAAACGGCCCTTCCCTACCAGACTGACTTCAGGCTTCGAGTAAGACCACTTTAGGAACGGGGAGAACACCTGGGAGCAGTCCCATGGCAGCGACGGGAACTCATTCAACGAGGGCAGTGTCGCCGTTGGGATCCGCGCGTGGACACCCCAGAAGGCTCTGTCCCAAGTTCATATCCACGGACCACAAGCCCTGGCATACTCCTGCCTCCACCAGCCGGGGACATGCGGCTGCCCGGGGGATGGCGTCCGCCCATGAGGTCCAGGTACATTACATAAACTATAGTCTTACGTGAATAACTTAATTGCTGGATGGAGAACTCCAACGTGGGATTTAAATCCCTGTTCATCTCCACACTTAACACCCTGATGTTGCGGGACAATATAACAGTATAAATGAAAGAAAACAACGCTTTGACATGGTCTACGGGGACTAGATAGGTAAACACCTTGGTTCGTACTTTTCAGCCCCAGCCTCGAAAATGCGATGGAAATGCCCTTCCAGTCCCAGAGGGCTGCGCCCGAATTCGGTGAGGGGGCCTACGACACCACTGTGGGAGGCGACCCTCCCTCCCTGCGGGGCGAAGAAGTGAAAGGCAGCGTACCACGTAAGTGCTCACGGTCTCGGTCACCACGCTGCGGACCGGGGCCTTGGACGAGCCGGCGCCAGACATGGCGGGGGCCGCGGCGGGCAGCAGGGTGGGGGCTGCGGCTGATGGCGTGAGCAGGGACGAAGGCACCGGGGCGGGGGCCACGTGCACAGGCACGGGGGCTGGGACACCTGCGGGCGGCGGGGTCTTGGGTCTGCTCAGCGAAGGGGCTGGCTTGGCCTCGGGCGCCGGGACCACTTTGCTGATGACACTGTCAACAAGAGAGAAAAGGAGAAGTCACGATAGGATAGTGTCAAACTGGACACTTACAACATGATCCTGAAATAACTTGATGCTTCTAGGTGCCAAACACTCTGTGGAGCGGGCATCCGGGACCCCCTGGACCCGGTCAGAGTCAGGCCGGGGGAGAAGGGTCGGTGACCCCAGGGGCGGGAAAGGACAGCCGCCCCCCCCCCCCTTCCCGTGCGGCCTCTCCAGGAGCACATGGGTCCCGGGGACTCGGCAGCGCAGACTCCAGCGGCGATATCCCAGCTCAAACCCGGGGTCAGTCCCAGGCTGGCCCTGTGAGCCGGGCGAATGCTGCGCCTGAGCCCTGTAGGAAGGCGGGGTGATCCTGGGCACTTCACTGGCGTCACCCCAGCCAGTCCTCACGACCCTGTCACACAGGTTACCTGATCCCATCGCACAGATGAGGAAAAAGGATTAGAGAGAGAAAGGAATGGGGGTAAGTGGGTGGCAGGCCTTGAACCAAGGTATGTTTGATTCCAAAATTCTTTCATTTTTTAAAAAAACGCTTCCTTATTTGAAAAAAAAAGTTCTATATAATTTCAAGTATCACAGCTCAGGAAACAGAGCTAAGTAGACATCAGCGCTTTGCCAAGTTTGCTTAGAACTCCCTCCCTCCTCCGGAAGTAACCACGGTCCTCAGGTCCTTAAGCCGCAAGTACGGTTCTGTATTTCTACTCTTACTCCTCTTTGATGCTTTTCGAGCATATATACAATACGACACTATATTTATCCTTTGCAGCTCGTTTTCCTTTTTTTAAAAAATTGATATAATAGACATATAACCCTGTGTAAGTTTCAGGTATATGATGTGTTGATTTGATGCATTTATATATTACACTGATTACTGGAGCTAATAATCAGCTAATACCTTTATCATATCACATAATTATTTATCTTTTGTTTAGAACATTTCAGATCTACTCTCTTGGCAACTTGGAGGTTTGTGATACAGCACTGTTGACCATAATCTCTATGCTCTGCATCAGATCTCCAGAACTTATCTATTGGCTTCCCACTTAGTTTTAGGTTTCTTGATTTATCCATGTTGATACATGTAGATCTGTATTATTCATTTTGCTTGGTACCCAGTACACCATGGTATGAATAAGTCAAAGGGGTTGTGTCCATTACCCTACTGTGGCTAAAACATACTACCCTGTAAATGTTACATGTTAACTTTGAAGGACGTTGCAGAATTTCCCCAGGCTATATTCCTTTTTTTTTTTTTTTTTTAAATATTTTTATTTATTTCCAGGAGAGAGAGAGAGAGAGAGAGAGAGAGAGACAGCGTGAACAGGGGAGGGTCAGAGAGAGAGGAAGACACAGACTCTGAAATAGGCTCCAGGCTCTGAGCCGGCAGTCAGCACAGAGCCTGAAGCGGGGCCCGAACCCACGAACTGCGAGATCATGACCTAAGCGAAAGTCGGACGCTGAACCGACTAAGCCACCCAGGCACCCCCCCAGGCTATATTCCTAAGAGTAAAGTTGCTGGGTCACAGGGCAAGCACCTTCCCACCTTTACCAGGAATACCAAGCTGTTCCTTAGAATGACGGCACCAACCTATCTCCTCTTTCTACTTTCCGGCACTAAACTTTCCAAGCCCTGTTTTGCTGACCGTGTATATACAATGAGCTGCCTCTGAGGGTCATAGTGAGAACCTGAATACAGAGAAACGTGTCAAAGGCCACTAACTGTAAAGTGTGACCACCAGTATTATAGTCACAGATGTTGTCCCTGACAGCCCCGGACATCGCCATTACCAGGCCTGCATAGTTCCAGCTTCTTGAAGTCTTGGTTTAGAAGGCACCTCCACTGAAAAGCATGGATTCCCTCCTAGTCTGACTAGAAGCTTATAAAACATTAAATTATCTTACAAATTTCATCACATAAACAGATAAGTAATGCTAACTGTTTTCTATCTGAGTTACGCGTGAGGCTGCCTTCCTAACTTGAATGTAGCCCAAAGCCAAGAAAACGTAACACAGGTTGTTTGTGGAGAAGATACTCAGGAATGCGTAACACAATTCACAGTGGGTATTTATTGGACACGCACTAAGGACTCCACGTTCTAAGCACCTGAAAGCTGATGGCACGGCGGGCACTGTGCTAGATGTTCACTGGCCTTACTCACTTGATCTTCACAACCACCGGGTGAGGTAAACACACCTACTACTGTCCTTTGACAACCCAAGGCACAGAGACACTCAGTATCCTGTGCAAGTTCACGGACTACTATGAGACGGAGCCAGAATTTAAACCCGGGCAGTCTGATTTCAGAACCTGTGATCTTAACAACCACGTAACACCGTCTCTCTCACTGCTTACTGAGCGAGCTCTGCCTTACATACAAAGTGGCAGTTCAAAGTTATTACTGTGCCATTTATACCCATTTGTGCAAGCACTTCCTATTTCTATGGTTAGACTAAAATTTTACACACTATTTTTGGAGGTGGTTTCCCATAATGGTTGGAAATATAGGCGCTGGGACCAAAACTAAAGGAAAAGCAGGAGCCCAGAGACTAAGTAGAACAGAGATGTTTCGCCCTGAGGGCACGTGTGCATAAGGGAAATCTGATCTTTGGTCTTGATAAAGAGGACAGGTTTCAAGCCCAGGGCCTGCCAAAGCGGAAAGTCCGATAGAGCTCCCTCCCCACATTAAAAACTCCCAGTAGGCTACACTGATTAAGTAAGAATCAATCAAAGCCTCCTGAAGTTTTAGCTCTTGTGGTCCAGGACACTATATTTAAAGCACTCTGGGCTTGTAATGGGCCTAGGTACGTAGCACTAACCATCTTGAGATGAGGTAACTTAAAATGTAGGCCTTATATCATTAATGCAGTTAAGTAGTAAGAAAAAAAAAAAAGCAGCAAATAATCTTAAAGAAAACCAAACCTATGGGGAGACAAGGTAGCCTCAGGGAGAACCAGATTACAGATGGTATAAAGACACCCACGACGACCACAGAGACTAGAATTATTAACTATAAAACAACTCCAACATTTAAAAAAAAGGAAAGGCAGGGGTGCCTGGCTGCCTCAGTCACTGGACTGTGTGACTCTTATTCTGGGGGTTGTGAGTTTGAGCCCCGTGTTGGATGTGGGTATTACTTAAAAATAAAATCTTTAAAAAATAAAAATAGGGGCACCTGGGTGGCTCAGTCGTTAAGCGTCCAATTCTGGATTTCGGCTCAGGTCATGATCTCACGTGGGCTTTGAACTGGGCTTTGCACTGAACGTGGAGCCTGCTTGGGACTTTCTCCCCCTCTCTCTGCTCCTCCCCCACTCACACTTTCTCTCTTTCTTGAAAATAAATACATTAAAAAAAAAAAAGGCAAAACATGACATTATCTGCAGGTAATAGAAGGTTATAAAGAGTCACCTAGCAGATTTGAAAAGAAACAAACTGACCTAGATATGAAAAATACAGCAAAAAGTTGATTCAAATTTATTCTCAGCAGAATAAGAGAACGGTCAGCTTAATAATAAGACATAAGAAATGATCTAGAACATAGCTTGGAGGGGCAAAGAGAGAACACAATAAATTGCTACATGTCTAATAATTACTATACATTTAATCGGAATTCTAGAGACAGAATGGGGCAGAGGCAAAATGTTAATAAGAATATCTGAGACCGTTAACAGATCTGATAGCAGATACCAATCCACAGACTGAAGAAGGCTAACCAGTCCCAGGCAAGATAACAAAATCTCCACCCAGACACGTCAAAGTGAAACCATAAAACATCACAGATAAAGAAAAGAATCTGAAAAGCGGCCCGAGGCGGGGGTGGGGGGGGTGGGGGGGGCAATGACTTTCAAGGAAAGAGCAGCTGATTTCTCCACAGCAATGATGAAGCTGGAAGACACTGGAATAACTCCCTCAATGTGCTGAAGAGAAGTGCAGTTTGGCTTTGAGAGCATCTTTCAAGAATAAGGATGAAATAGAGACGTTTTCAGGCAAACAAAATCTAAGGACTTGCCCACAGTGGACCTCTACTAAAAGAAATTTTAAAGCAGGAAAGAATATCCAATGGAAAAAAGACAGCCTTTTTAACAGATGGTGTTGGGAGAACTGGACAGCAACATGCAGAAGAATGAAACTAGATCATTTTCTCACACCATGCACAAAAATCAACTCAAAATGGATAAAGGACCTGAACGTGAGACAGGAAACTATCAACACCCTAGAGGAGAAAGCAGGAAACAACCTCCTTGACCTCCACCGTAGCAACTTCTTACTTGACACATCCCCAAAAGCAAGGGAATCAAGAGCAAAAATAAACTGTTGGGACCTCATAAAGATTAAAAGCTTCTGCACAGCCAAGGAAACAACCCAGAAAATTAATAGGCAACCAACGGAATGGGAAAAGATAGTTGCAAATGACATATCAGATAAAGGGTTAATATCCAGAATCTATAAGGAACTCACCAAACTACACGCCCGAAAAACAAACAACCCAGTGAAGAAATGGGCAGAAGACATGAACAGACACTTCTCCAAAGAGGACATCCAGATGGCCAACAGACACATGAAACGATGCTCAGCATCCCTCCTCATCAGGGAAATACAAATCAAAACCACACTGAGATACCACCTCACGCCAGTCAGAGTGGCTAAAATGAGCAAATCAGAGAACTCTAGATGCTGGCGAGGATGTGGAGAAACGGGCACCCTCCTGCACTGTTGGTGGGAATGTAAACTGGTACAGCCCCTCTGGAAAACAGTGTGGAGGTTCCTCAGGAAACTAACAATAGAACTCCCCTATGACCCAGCAATAGCACTGCTAGGAATTTACCCAAGGGATACAGAAATGCTGAGGCATAGGAGCACATGAACCCCAATGTTCATAGCAGCACTCTCCACAATAGCTAAAACATGGAAAGAGCCTAAGTGTCCATCAACAGATGAATGGATCAAGAAGATGTGGTTTATCTATACCATGGAATACTACATGGCAATGA